GACGGCCAGCGGCCCCAAGCCGCATGCTTCCCAGAGCATAGCTGCACTGCCACGCTCAGTCCGCCCCTGAGCAGCAGCAGCACGGGCTCCCGTGCATGCCATGCATGCATGCGTGCGTGCATGATGCCCGGCTGCCTGCTTCCCAGCTGCCCCGCCGCCCGTGCCGACGTCGGCGGGCGCGCACCTGTTGGCCTTGGGGTTGAGCGGCGCCTCCGTCAGCAGCACCGGGTGCTCCTCCGGGGCCACCCGCAGCTCGTTGTAGAAAGTGTGGTGCCAGATCTTCTCCATGTCGTCCCAGTTGGTCACGATGCCGTGCTCAATGGGATACTTGAGGGTGAGGATGCCGCGCTTGGACTGCGCCTCGTCGCCCACATAAGCGTCCTTCTGGCCCATGCCCACCTGTTGCGGCACGGCGCGGCGGTGCAAGGAGGGGTTGGTGGTGGGACGGAGGAGGGGGGTGCTGGGTGGGGTGCAAGCGTGGGGCTGCACGGGGTGCGAGCCGAGCGGCAGCGCGCCAGCTGCCGCCGGTGGCGGCGCGTTCAAGTGTTGCCCCGATGCACTGCTGCGCCTCAGCGCGGCCCTGGCACGGCCCTGGGCTACCCACCATCACGCCCTGGTGCCTGGGGCGGCCCACGATCGAGGGGAAGACGGCCCGCGGCGCATCATCGCCCGCAAAGCCGGCCTTCACCATGCCGGAGCCATTGTCGCACACGATGGCGCTGACCTCGCCGTCCTCTGCGGCAAGGGGCGGCGGGGCGGGCATTCTGGCGCTGCGGCTCGAACCACCACTTTGAACAGCTGCCCCTCGATCGGCCTGCTCCACGCGGCTGGCCGCCTTCGCACGCCCCTGCACGCCCCACACCCCCTGGCGAGCCCCACAGGCCACCCGGCCTCACCAGCCATGTCTGCGCCGCGGCTGTGCGTGTGGGGAGTCAACCAAACGCGTGCAGGGGAGTGGGCTGGTGTGGGGCCAGCTGCAGACGATCCAGTCAGGTGAGCAAAGTATGCAGCAGGCAGCCAGTCGCCTTCAAACTTGTTGTCACCTGCATCAGGAGCCGCTGGCCCAGGAAGAAAACTGGCGCGGCCTGGATCACTGGGGGTCCTGGGGGCTCGTTAGGAGGGCTGGACCATTCCCTGATCACTCCCTGCGGAGCCTTGGACCGCCCCTCCCGCCCCCTGCAGCGCGCTGGCCCAGCTCGGTGATCGCATCTCCAGAACAGGCGCCCTCGGCACCCCAAACCGCACTCCCGGCAGACCCAGTGGCTCTTGCAGACATGGAGGCGGCGACGCTGGCGGTGGTCAGGGCCTCCCGCCCCACCTTCAGGTCCAGCCGCCGCTGGCGCCCCCGCGCCCGCCCGCTGCTGCAGGCCCCACCTCGCAGGTCCTTTTACACCTCGCGGGCCCCTCCTTGTCCTTGCAGGTCGGCCCATGACAAGCTGGCCTTTGCTGTGCACGCCTTCCTGCTTTCAGAGGGATTCAAGCTGGTGGCCCCCGGCGTGGCGGCAGAGGATGAGAGCGCAGGTGCGCCGCTGCCGGCGCCGCTGCCGCACGCCGCCGCCGCCGCATCCGCACGCATCTGTGCACTCGGTTGTTGGCCTCCTGATGTGCACTTCTGCACATGTGGACCTGGTCCTGGCAGCTACCTACCGTGCTGCCATGCCACCCGGCCCCTTTCCGCCGCCTGGTCCTGAGCTTTTCCCCCACCTTTCCGTCTTGTCGCCGCGCCAGACTTTGCCACGAGCCGCGAGGAGGTGGACCCCGCTGGATGGGACTCATTAGATGCAGCCTACGCCTTCCGCTACCAGGACACCGAGGGTGGGTGGGAGCAGCGGCGTGTGTGCCGCGACTGTGCACTTTCGCCTGTGTGCACTGCACCATGCTGCCCGGCCCGTCAGCCTGCCTGGCCTGCCCGCCTGGCCTGGCCCCCCACGCCTGCCCCCCACGCCACCGCCCCGCAGGCAAGCGTGCCCCGGTGTACGTCAAGGGCCTGGTGCTGGGCGGCCAGCTGCTGGTGCACTGGGTGGAGGGCGACTCGCCCACCTCGGAGCCCCGCACTCTGGAGCTGGATGCTGCCGCTTTCACGACTGACGAGCCCGCAGCGCCCGCCTGCTACCAGCACACGACCGAGCTCGTGGCCAAGCTGAGGTGCGCGGCCGCAGCATGGCGGCAGGGCGGGGCATGCAGCGAGCTGGAGCACCGGGCGCCCCGGCTCGTTTAGCTGAGGCCTGCGCAGGCTTTACGTGCGCCCTTGTGTGTCGACGGCAGTCGCTTGCGCGGCTGGGCTGGTTGGCTGTACAGCTGCCGACTCAATGACCCCTCCCGCTGGATGGAAGCATGATGCTGCCCACCGCTGGATTGCCTGGTCATGCCAGTTTTGGTGCAGGCAGCACCTGGGCAGCGTGCTGGCAGGGGGGCCCACAGCAGCAGGCAGTGCGGGGCGGCAGAAGGAGGGCAGGGCCCAGGCCAGCGGCAGGGCAGAGGGCAGGGAGGCAGAGCCGCTGCAGGAGCAGCCCCCGGGTGCGCTGCACTGCCCTGCGCTGCACTGCTGCCATGCGGCACATGCCTGCAGCTCTGTGCCCCTGTGCTCTGCCCAGGTTGCTCTGTGTGCTCCTGCATTGCTGGCGTGCCGTTGGGTCACGTGCGTCGTGCGCCTGTGTGTTGCTCCTGGGAAGCAGCTGCCGCTGCAGCATGCGGCTGCACGGTGCGCCTCTCTTAAAGTCGCCTCCCTGCTTCATCCCGCATGTGCAGGTGTGAGCGGCGTTGGCTACCGGCCGCCGGGGCTGCCGGTGGGCATCGGCGCCGATGACCTGGTGCCTCCTGGCGTGCGGCCGCCGGGGTATGGCGGGGGCCCGGCGTTCCCAGGTGAGCAGTGCAGCTGGCTGGCATGCCGGCTTTGAGCTGTTGGCGAGCGGGGCTGTGCACGGCGGCGTGGGAGCAGCCGCATCAGTGCGCAGAGGCATCGGAGCACCGCGGCGTTTGCTGTGTGGCAGCCGCGAGGGGTGGGTGGTGGAGCCAGTCTTCCCACCCACCATTCATGCATGTGGCTGTCTGTCGCCACCTGGCGCAGGCCTCATGGAGCCTGGGCCGCTGCGGGGCGGCGGCGGCATGCACGTGGGGCCCGGGGACCCCATCTTTGGGCCGGGGCGCCTGGGCGGCGGCGTGGGGCGGCCCCCGGGGCACGGCAGCCTGCCGCCGGGGGCGCGCTGGGACCCCATCGCGCCGCCAGGCATGCGCGGCTTTGGGCCAGGTGGGGAGCAAGGCCGGACCGTCTCCTTGCTGCTTGGGAGGATCGTCGGGGGCGGCTGCTGTCGTGTTTGTGGCATTCATTCATTCCCCTTGCGGGCGACCCGCCACCCTCCGGTTGCTGCTGCTGCAGACGACTTCCAGCGCGAGCCTGGGCAGCCCCATCCGGACATGATGCAGCCAGGACCAGGCCGTGGACGCGATTTTGATGAGATGTTTGGCTGAAAGCGGTTAAACCCAGCCGGAGGACGCTCCCTGCATGCACGTCCCGTCCAACGTGAGCACGCTTAGTGTGCGACCTGCTGGGCCAGTGTGCCTGTTGCATGCTCTGATCTGTGTAACTAGCCTGTCGCGAGAAACAGAGAGCTGGGCGGCGATTACCCGGTTCGCCAGCTCAGCCGGCGGTGAACCCTGATGCAGGCTTGCGCTGCTGCTACGCAACTCGCGACCTATACTTCTTTAAACACAAGGGGACCAACCTGGGCTCGTGGATACAACTCAGAGGCTGCTCGAGCAGCAACAGCGCGCACTGCAAGATTGGCAGCAGCCGTTGATAGGCCTGCACCAGGTGGGTGGGTGGAAGGGTCTGGCACACTGGGTGGCTGGATCGGTGGCGTGGGTGCCTCTGGCCGCAGTGGCGCGCACCGCGGCGCACATGCAAGGCACGTGGGCTGGCCCCGCTGCTCGGGCAGCGTCTCCTTGGATGGCAGCGGAGTGAGCACTTTGGAGCCGTCGACGCCTCCTCTTGGGCGGATGGCAGCAAGGTGGTCCTAGTTCTGGGATGGTGGACCCCTGCCGCCCCCGGCCCAATGGCGCCCCAGGGGCTGCTCCCCGATCGAAATTTAGCCTTAGAATTCTGTTTCGGGGTCGCTGGGAGGCTTTCGCCGTCGGACGGCGCTGACACCCCGCCGGCGGGACTACCGTCACTACGCCCGCGGCGTCTGACGCCCCTCGCCGCTGCTCTCCCCTGGCCCTCCCTCGCAGGCGCGGCACCCCGGCGGCGACCACCCCCGCCATGAATGCGCTGATGGAGCCGCGCTGCGCGCCGCAGCAGGTGCCCGACCTCATGCTGCTCGACGAGGAGGCCGACGGCGGGTGTGGCGACAACTGGATGTCCGAGCTGGCCTCCTTCTGCGTGGCGGCGGTGGCCTCAGTGGCCGCCACCGCCTCGGCGCCGGTCCCCATCGCCTCCCACGCCCGCGCACAGCGCATGAGCCCTGGCAGCGAGCTTGTGGACTCTCTGGAGTCGACGCAGACGCTGCTGGGCGCCAGCCTGGCGCACGACGCGGCGGCGGTGCACTCCCAGCCCGCCCAGCAGCCGCCGCAGCTGGACCCTTACGCCATGCGCTTCGTGCCGGTGCCCGTGGCGCCCGCGCCGCAGCTGGAGCCGTACCAGCAGCCGCAGCCGGCGGCGCGGCAGTACTGGGGCGGCGAGCGGGACGAGGGGTTGTATGGCGGCTACGGCGCGGTGGCGCCGCCCCAGCCCCAGCCCGGGGCCTACTACCCCCACCACCAGGAGCAGGCGCCGCAGCAGTACCAGCAGGACTGGCAGTACAGCGAGGATCAGTACCATGATGTGCAGTATGCCGCCGAGCAGCACTATTCCGCCGCCGAGCACTACGCCCCCCCGCTGCCGCCCCGCCTCCGCCCCGCGCCGCCCTCTGCCTGGGAGGCAGGCCCCGCGCCGCTCCCCATGCCGGCGCCGCCCCACCACCGGTCCGCCGCCGCCGGCATCAGCAGCCTCGACCTTCCGTACGGCTGCAGCGTGCAGTTTGGGCGGCAGGGGCCGATGGCGGTCCCGGGAGCGGTGAGCGGCTTGGTGTGGCTGTCTGCTGCCGGCACCGCCTTGCCTGCCGCGTGCTGCCGGCTGGCTGCCGCTGCTGGCTGCGCCTTACCTGCTGCGTGCCGTCGCCCATCGCCACCTCTCTCTCTGCTCGGTAC